TATGCAAAAAATGAATTTCTTGATTTGTAATTTATAAATAAGATTAAGATTTAAATATATAAAAATTAAAATTCTAAAGACTTTCAATATAAAAACGTTTTGACCTTTTGACCTAGGACGGAGCTAGAAGTGCTATTTGAAATGTATATGCAAAAAATGAATTTCTTGACTTATAATTAATAAATAAAATTAAGACTTAAATATATAAAAATTAAAATTTTAAAGACTTTTAAGTGTAGAAAAACTTGATAAAATTTATGTGTATTTGGAAGTATACTAATACAGTATTCCCTTTTTCCTCCTGGTGCATTTCTCCTTTTTTATGTGCTCAAGAAACTAATAGAAGATAGTATTGATGTTCATAATTTCAACCCCCTTTTGTGTTATGATTTGTTTTTGGACTGTGCATATAGGAGCTTTCACGTAATGTGACCTTATATCTATGAGTGGAGTACCCTTTATACTCCCTACCATAATAAAACCTTTGATTTATAAAAAAAAAAAAAATTATGTGTATTTAAATTTCAAATTGAAACACAACTTCTATCACAAAATATATATTACTTAATATGATTCAGATACTAAAACTAAATGTTTTAAAAAATTGATAATATCAATTTCAAGTCAATTTTACTTTGTTACTTGATATAAGTAATCATTAACCATACATATATTGCAATGACAAACATATCAAATAAATAAAAATATTTTATTAAATTTATTGTACTTATCAAGTGATTAATAATTTATCATAAGATCTATACAAGAAATAAAAAGTAAAACACTATTTTATTTTTTTCAAAAAGGGTTTATTTGATTTTTTTTTTAAGTATAGGACCTATTTAATTTTTTTCAAAAGTCTAGGGGGGCGAGCACCCTCCCTTGCGCCTTGCATCCCTGGCTCCGTTCTTGGTCATAGACACAGTTTTTTGCTTTTATTAGATCTGGTAAAATGGGACTTGATATGAAAATCTAACCCAACCCAAACCCATTTACTATAAGTAGGGTTATGGGTTAAAATTTTTAAAGTATCAATATGAAATAAGATATAATTTAAATTAAAATTATTCAGACTTGACTGAGTTGGATCAAAATTAAGTCAAATTAATCCGAAATTATCCAACTAGAGTTAATTAATGTTTTTAAATTTAAAATTTTGATTAATCATACTTTTAATAAAATTAAATACTACAAAATGATTATTATTTATTAGATTATTAGTGTTAATATTGATTTAAAGGATTTTTTCAACTAAATAATTAATTAATATTAAATTTTTAAAAGAAAAATAGAAAAAATATTAACAAATTTTATTTTTAATTTTAATTTTTTAAAAAATTAAGTTCACTTGACTCAATTTGAGATTTGTATGGCTGAGTTATGGGTCTACTTCTTAACCCAAAATTCAAAATGATCAAATCCAATAAATCCAAAACCTAAGATGATCCAATCTAAACTCATCTTATTCAACTTACTTACTAGGTTTAATTTTTATTGTCCACAATGGCACTCATAATGGCACGAAATTGCCATGTTAGTGCTGACATGGCAATGGATAACATAATTTTAACAAATGCATGACACTGCCATCCATTTTTGGGTTTTTCATTTAGGCCAAAAAGATAAAAAGCTAAAACTTTCATATTGTAAGTTAAGGGGCTAATACTTTCATAGTTAGTAAGGTGGAGGGCTTGCCACAGATTTTCGCCAAAAAGAGAGGGAGTGGATGAGAAGTGTGAGCCAGAGTTTTAGTGACCATGGCATATTGGCAGTGAAGTTGAATTTGGTCGTTGTGGAAGTGGAGAAAGGCAGTGGCCAGTGGGTGACAGAAACATGTTGGGTGTCCCACCACCACTATCTAATAGGGGTATTAGGGCAGTGGTTGGCTTCATAGCAACGCTAACAGCCAAAATAACCCAACCACAGCATTAAGGTCAACATAATATAATGATCCTGATTAAAGATTTAGTAATGGGTTTTATTCCCAAGATTACTTGGTTAATCAAGTCACTTTTTTAGAAGATTGCTATGGATTTAGTAATTTTATTGTCACCGATTCATCCTTTGATTGAATCGACCAAAAAGAAAATTTTAATTAGATATGTCTCCAAACTAACACAAGAATTATAGTAAAATTAAAAGTAAAAAATAAAATGAAAATAATATAATTATAATGTTTTGTGATATTGCGAATTTATAATATTATTGTGTTATTATATAATTAATTATTTATATTTATATTTATTTATTTAATAATACATTTTTTTAATCTTAGTTGCATAATGAGAAACAACTATCTCTCATTCCTTATCCCACTCTTCAACATGTCATGCGATTTGAATTTAAAATCTCTTATTTCCAATGAAAATAAATAATCATTAAATTATTTAAGTTATTAATTTTAATAATACGTTAAAACTGTAAATTTATATATATAATTTGTAACCATCTTTCTCAAAAATAAAACTCATTGTCCCCATCGATCAAAAATGTAAAGTGATAATTAAAAAGTAGGCTAAGAGATTATTACCCATTTGCCCACTTTCTTTGTTGCCCACTTTCTTAGTTTCTTTAATTCCATCCCTCTAGTTGAATGCTAGTGGCTTTCCTTCTCTCACACTTTTTTCTCCTTTTTCCTCTCTATCTAGCTAATGTTAGTGGTTCTCTTCCCCTTATCATTTTCTTTCCCTTCCCCATATATCTCACAAGGGCTTTGTGCCTAAGATTTCCCTCAGGGTTTTTTTCAAGTTAACAGCTAAACAAGAGTAGAAGGTTCAGTAGCATGTTGGGAGATGGATAGAGAAACTAACAACCAAGAAAATCCATCTCTCCTACCCAATAATAATACTAAAGAAGAATCTCCTAGGAAACTTCACGGTGGCTCAGGTGGCGGTAGCAGTAACGACAGGCTAAAGCGGGATGAGTGGAGTGAAGGGGCAGTTTCATGCTTACTTGAGGCCTACGAAAGCAAATGGGTGCTCCGGAACCGAGCCAAGCTCAAGGGCCAGGATTGGGAGGAGGTGGCACGGTACGTATCGGCGCGTGTAAATTGCACGAGATCTCCCAAGACTCAAACTCAATGTAAGAACAAGATCGAATCCATGAAGAAACGGTATCGTTCGGAATCCGCCACCGCTGATGGATCATCTTGGCCTCTGTACTCACGGCTTGATCTTTTACTACGTGGCAGTGCCCCACCACCACCGCAGCCACAGCCGCCACAAATAGTTATGCTTCCATCCTCTACTAACCCTCCTCCTTTGATAATACTAGAACCATCACCAACCGTTCAGCCACAACCACCACCAGCGGCCCCGCAGATTCTTGGGACGGCACCAAATTCACATGGGTCTAACGGTATTGATAGAGGACCAGCCAAGGTCAGTCTAATTAATATATTTTCTGCCTCTCACATTTTAGATATACTTTATAACCTAAAAAATAAATATCTATTATTTTTTTTATAATCGGAGAAAATATCTAATTATTAACAATTTCATGATGTTGTTGTATATTTTAGGCACTTTTTTTAATGGAAAAAAAATCATAATGTTACCCAAGTTTTCTCAATCATGGTATAATTTAATAATTTTCTTACATTTTACTTTATTTAATATCTAATATGTTTTATTTTATATATATATATATATGTGTGTGTGTAGTCTATACTGGTTGGTTTCTTATAATCAAATTTCAATCTTTGTTGTAGGATGACGGAACAGGAACAAAATTATCGAACCATTTATCTGACAAAATCGCCATTGACACAGATAGTAGCACACCTGCACTTTATAGCGAGAAGGAAAAGCTGACATCGAAGAAGTTGAAGACGAAAAGCAAGCGTCGGAAAAAGGAAGACTGGGAGATAGCGGAGAGCATACGGTGGCTAGCGGAGGCAGTGTTGAAATCGGAGCAAGCGAGAATAGAGACAATGAGGGAAATAGAGAGAATGAGAGTGGAAGCAGAAGCCAAGAGAGGAGAAATGGAGGTGAAGAGGACTGAGATCATTGCCAATACACAATTGGAAATTGCTAGGCTCTTTGCAGGGGTCAGTAGTAAAGGCAATATTGATCCTTCCTTAAGGATTGGGAGAAGTTGAGGGATTAATTTAAGTTAATAAAAATATTATGAGTATGTATAGCTAGATAGATTAATTCTGTCTCTTGACATTTAAAGAAGAGGCAAACCAATTATTATTATTATTATTATTATTTATGTTGATTGCACAACGGGAGAGAACCCTCTTTCATCCTTTATCCTATTTTATCCGCATGTCATGCCACTTGAACTCATGATCTCTTATTTTAAATAAAAAAAGATTATCACTGAACTATTTAAGTTATTGGCGCAAATCAATTAATTAGATAAGAGAATAGTGAAAATTATGACATTTTGATATTTAAAGTGTCAAAATTTTCTGTGAAATTATTCTAATAGACTTGATAAATCTTATTTGTGTGTTGTGCTATTAATTCATTAAGAATATTTTAATTTTTTTATTATTATTTTTGACATTTTAATTTTCCTCACGGTTCTAATATTCCTCAATCACATTAGAGAAACTTTATTTTGGAGTTGATATATACTTGAAATGTATGTGACTTGTTGTAATGCTGCTAATAGAAAAGTAGGAATCAACTTGTAAAAAATTAAGTAAAAAATATTTAAAAATTACGTCATTTTAATAAAATTTTATTGAAAAAGATTACAATATATTAATCATTTTTAAAGTAAAGATGAGAATATTTTAATTTTTTTATAATATTTTATTAAAATAACTTAATTTTAAAGGACATTGATAGGTTTACCCACATTTATCTCATACTCTGTTACACATACTTCTCCTCTGTTACTGTCTCCGTTATTATCCATTACTCTCCATTATTTTACATTAAGCAACCTTCCTTTCTCTGTCTTGTTTCCTTTCTCCTTTTTACTGTTCACCATCCTGCTTGTTTGCTAATCAAAGCCATCAAAATCCCTCTGGATGATGAACTGAAAACATATAAAGAAATCATGAGAATCATCAACCTCTTGAGCTTAGAAAACGTCTCTCCTCTTCACCCAGCATTAGTTGTTTGATTTTCAACCTTCTTCCTTCTTTTCCCTCCTCCTTCTTTCTTTTTCTTCTTCTTTCCCTCTCTTCCCCTCTTCTTCCTTCTCTTCCCCTCTTCTTCCTTCTCTTCCTCCCTCCTTGATCTGTGTTCTTTAGGAGAACCCAGGTCTGGATTCTCCTAAAGAACCTAGGGTTCTCGGGTTCTCCAAGAGAACCTGGGAGGGAAAAAAAAATGAGGAAGAAGGGGGGAAGAAGGAGAAAGGAAAGGAGTGAGAAAGAAAAGATTGGGTGAGTGGAGGCCATGACTGCATGTAACAAAAAACGTTAAAATGTGTAATGATTGTGTAACGAAATGATGTGGATGAATTATTTTCTAATTTTAAAATATTTTTTTATCTAATTTTTTACATATCTGATTGATAAACATTAATCTTTTCATATAATATCTAAGCCTCTTTGTTTCTCACTCTCCACCACATGGTGTATTGACACCAAAAAATAAAAAATAAAAAGATGAAGAGTATAAAATTGAACTATAAATAAATTACATATATATATGTGTGTGTTTGTGTGTGTAATTTTTTTTAAGGAAAAAGAAAGTTTGTGAAAATCATGTGAAGTTGAATGATCTCACATGAAATATGTTTTAGGAGGTTTCTATTCATTTATCAAAAAAAAAAAAAAAAAAAAGGGGGGGGGGGGGAATAGACAGAAAAATCGTGAATATTTACATTCCTATCCTGGTATAATTAAGGAAATTCAAATTCCTAATCGATGCAAGACAAGACTATCCGAGCGACCAAACAGAGGCACTGTAATATCTGCAAGGCAAAGATTCCCCCTTTCTCTGTTCAATTCCTAAAACCCCTCGCAAAATCCCTGGGAAGATGGCTCTCTTCCAAACCCACACATCTCCCAGCATGATTGCTTCTATTTCACCCATGTCCGCATTCCAGACATCAACACATCCAATTTCGATCTCTTACTTCTCCAGGGAAACCCATCAAGAGAATTCACTCTTTTCTTCCAGGACGATGGCTGCCAAGACCATTCCTTTTCCACCATCGACGCAATTCAGAAGGCTGCTCTGCAAACCACCTCAGGGAAAGCATGTCAGACGAGATTATCTTGTGGTACGTACGTTCCCCTACTTTGTTTTCTCAATTGCTTTGTTGGGTTTTGCAAAATGAAAAACTTTGGCTAAGTTATACATGCTACCTTTTTTTTTTTACTGGGAAATTATGGAGCAGACTTTAATTGTCATTTGAGAGCTTTGTTGGCCCTTTTGGATGGACAGAAAAAGTTTTCAGCTGAGGAGGTGCAAGAGTTGGTGAAGGGCGAGAGAACTGTACCCCTTATTATTGACTTCTATGCGACATGGTGTGGACCCTGCATTTTGATGGCTCAAGAGCTTGAAATGGTAAGCCTTGCCCTGAGGCAATACTGGTGAATTGGCCATTTGAGCTGAAATTTATTTAGATTCCTGGTTAGTTGCATATACAACTAGACTAGAAGTTATGTACAGACAGAACTGGGATTTATGGTTTCAATTGATGAAAGATAAATTTTTGGTATCTTTCCTTTCCTTTATGGTTTCACTTTCTATTGGAGTTTATAGTACTAGATTTGTGGAGCAGATGCAGAACTTGTTTTGGTTTTTGTTCAAAGAGAAGGCCTTTATTAGCTACAAATTCTGTTTCTGTTCGCTTCATCATTAATGCAAGAAAATAGATTTGTGTGTTGAATATTCATTGCTACTAATTATTGTTTGGGTTTGTTGTCAAGATGATTGAGGTATTGATAATGTGGATGTAACTATGTGATTCCAGAATCATATTTAGAATCTGCTACTCCCAAAAGTTTTGGGAAAAGTAGATCCTGAAAATGGGGTTGGAAACTGCAAACATATTTTGCAGTGCAATGCTCGTTGCTTGTTGATAGTTCCCTACTTTTTTGTGAAGACTGAAAAATGGTATCTCTGATCTTTCACATAGATAAGATAAGATGATATGTTCTTGAAAGGTAGTCTTAAAAATATTATTATCATGTTTCCAAAGCTCTTCATAAGGTTTTAGTTGTTTGATCTTAATTTGACCCGAAACTCTCATGAATAACCTTTAACCTTTATCACAGCTTGCCGTGGAGTATGAGAAAAATGCAATGATTGTCAAAGTTGATACTGATGATGAGTATGAATTTGCTCAAGACATGCAGGTATTCTCCTTAATTCCACTTCTCCCCTCTTGTGTTGTTATCAATCTGTTGCATCTAAATTTATTCATATTAAAATCCAGCTAAGTTTCTAATGTTTGTGATGCTGTCAGCTGTCAGTTTAAAGTGAATGGATCTTGAATTCTTTTGAATCAGGTGAGAGGTTTGCCAACACTATTCTTCATCAGCCCAGATCCAGAAAAAGATGCAATCCGGACTGAAGGTCTTATTCCAATTCAAATGATGCGGGATATTCTAGATAACGAGATGTAAAAGAGAAACAAGAAGGATCATTTCATGCTAGATAAAGAGTTGGAGACGCCGGTTTTTGCTGTCAAATTAAAGTGTTAAAACACCCCCATCATCTCCATGCCATCTTGGTTATTAATTTCTTTTGCTGTTGTTGTTTTGTCATGTATCAGAATCATAGAAACTTTATGACGTTAAAAAGTCATGTATCCATGTGTACAGATGAAGATTTGCAGATATGTTATTGATTTATAAAGCTCCGGATCATGCTTGTTAACCTTTATTAAGTATATTAT